TGCAGCTAGCCCCGGCTAACTTCTTTACTTTTAGCCATTCTAATGAACGTGAGGTGGTCATTCTAATGAACGCGAGGTGGCCACTCTAATGAACGCGAGGTGGCCACTCTAATGAACGCGAGGTGGTCATTCTAACGAACGCGAGGTGGCCACTCTAACGAACGCGAGGTGGCCACTCTAACGAACGCGAGGTGGCCATTCTAACGAACGCGAGGTGGTCATTCTAATGAACGCGAGGTAATCATTCTAATGAACGCGAGGTGGTCATTCTAACGAACGTGAGGTGGCCATTCTAATGAACGCGAGGTGGTCATTCTAATGAACGTGAGGTGATATCTCATCGTAATTTCAGTTTGCATTTCCTTGTGAACTAATGACAATGAACGTATTTTCATATTCTTGCCATCCATATGCCTTCTTCAATGAAGTGTTTTCTCACATATTTTGTCAATTTTTTACAAACTGGGCTGTGTATTTTCTTACTATTGAGTTCAGAGGATTACTTCCATATCCTTGATAAAAAGTCCTTTATCAGATACGTGATTTGCAAATGTTTTCTCCTAGTCTGTGATTTCTGTTTTATTCTCTTAGTGTCTTTTGAAGTGCACACCTTCTTAATTTTGGTGGAGTCCAAGTAATTGATTTTTTCTTTTATGGATTATGCTTTTGGTGTCTTAACTAAGAAATCTCTGTTTACCCTAATGTCATATAGTTTTTTTCTCCTAGACATTTTGTAACTTTAGGTTTTACATTTAGGCCCATGATTGATGAGTCTGTATTAGTAAAGTTTGGAAGGATATTTGAAAGGGGCTTCTGATAATATAAATTTATATATCTTCAGTGTCCTGTAAACACTGAAGATGTATAAAGAAGGTCATATTTCTGTACGTAAAGTCAAACGTTAAGGACTTTTGCCAATTCAGAGTTAATGGCATGGAGTTCCCGGGCATGGGGTCTTATTTCCTTTGTGTCCTCCCTTTTCTAGATGTATTGACTACAGTGTATATTTAATAGTGTGATGATTAATTTAGGCGTCAACTTGACTGAGTTAAGGAATACCTAGAAACTTCAGGAAGCATTAGTTTGGGGTGTGTTTGTGGAGGTGTTTCCAGAGGCAATCAGCATGAGAATCTAAGTGGACTAGGTGGGGAAGACCCACTTTCCATGTGGGCAGGCACCTTCCGATCTGCCAGGGACCTGGAGAGAACAAAAACAGAGAAAAGGCAATCTGCATCTGTCTGTCTGCTGGAGCTGGAATACACTCTTCCTCTCCCATCAGAACTCCAGGCTCCCAGCTGGATGCGGTGGCTCATGCCTGTGACCCCAACACTTTGGAGGCTGAGGAAGGAGGACCTCTTAAACCCAGGAGTTTGAGACCACCTGGGCAACACAGTGAGACCCCATCTCTAAAAATATATATATTTAAAAACTAGCCAGGTGGCCAGGTACAGTGGCTCACACCTGTAATCCCAGCCGAGGTGGGAGGCCGAGGTGGGAGGATCACGAGGTCAGGAGATCGAGACCATCCCAGCTAACACAGTGAAACCCCATCTCAACTAAAAATACAAAAAATTAACCAAGCGTGGTGGTGCACACCTGTAGTCCCAGCTACTGGGGAGGCTGAGGCAGGACAATCACTTGAACCCAGGAGGCGGAGATTGCAGTGAGCCAAGATTGTGCCACTGCATTGCAGCCTGGGCGACAAAGCCAGACTCAGTATCAAAAAAGAAAGAAAAGAAAAAGAAAAAAGGAAGAAGACAGTATGGACAGGCAGACTCAATTTATAATCCCCACCTGAGAGACAGACTTGTGAACTGAAGCTTTAGGGATGCAGCCTGACACCGCAAAGCCAAGCAGACAACCGCAAGGTAAGGACTGGACATTGCCCCAACTCACGTGAACTCAGCGTCCATGTTACAAATCTTGCCAAATCCAGGCAAAATATTCTAGAAAAAAAATCAGACTATACATTTAAGTTATGATTGTTTATTATGATCTTTACACAGGAAGAAGAAATGGGTAAAAATACAATACAGGCTCCACACTCCAGCTTTTTTTTCTTGTTTGTCCTTCCAACTGGATCCTGTCTTTAAAAAAATAAATAAACATTTCAAATATAATAGAGATGTGGTTTCGCCATGTTGCCCAAGCTGGTCTCTAACTCATGGGCTCAGGCAATCCTCCCACCTCAGCCTCCCAAAGTGTTGGGATTACAGGTGCAAGCCACCCCACCTGCATGATCCTGCCTTTTTAATAGCGCAAAGGTTTTAATGTTTGTTTTTCAAACCTTCATCCACACCACATATGCAGAGCTAGTATGAGAACTTGAGTAAGTTACAAGGTATTTCTGAGAATCAGTTTCTTCTGGAGCCAAAGTTTCTTGTGACCCAAGATACATCTGGCAGGGAAGAGGTAAGTGGAGGCTTCATCAGAAGACAGAAGATCACTGCAATGTACTGGATGCTGTATCTGGGGACTTAAAGCAGCACAAAGTCACTGGATGACTCCAAGAAGTGAGACTGTTCCAAGAAAAAAGCGGGACTGGAGAACAGTGTGGGTGGAGAGCCAGCAGAAAGGAGCTGTCCCTTGTTAAGGATCACTTTTCTCAGGGCCTGTGCCAGGTGCGCTACACAGATCCCTCAACTCTTCACAGCCACGCTGGTGGACACGATCTCCTTTACAACTTTTTTTTTTTTTTAAGAGTCTCACTCTGTCACCCAGGCTGGAGTGCAGTGGTGCCATCTCTACTCGCTGCAACTTCTGCCTCTCAGATTCAAGCGAAGTAGCTGGGATTACAGATGTGCACCACCACACCCAGGTAATATTGTATTCTTAGTACAGATGGGGTTTCACCATGTTGGTCAGGCTGGTCTCTAACTCTTGACCTCAGGTGATCTGCCCACCTTTGCCTCCCAAAGTGTTCTGGGATTACAGGTGTGAGCCACCACGCCCAGCCTCATTACAAATTTAAAAGTGAGGTAATGAAAGCTAATTCCCGCAAGGTCACACAAGCAGAGATCAAGTTAAAAAGAAAGTTATTTTCTTTTTTCCCTCCTACATGACATGACTGTTTTGATTCTCAAACTCAGGTAAAAGTTACTGGTCCTGCCAGGCATTGTGACTCACACCTATAATCCCAATGCTTTGGGAGAACAAGGTAGGAGGATTGCTTACAGCCAGGAATTCAAGACCAGCCTGGGCAACAGTGAGATCCCCATCTCTACTAAAACAATTTTTTGTTTAATTAGCAGGGTGTTGTGGAATGTTCCTGTAGTCCCAGAGATCCTTCTACTTGGGAGGCTGAGGCAGGATTGTTACAGTCCAGGAGATGGAGGTTGCAGTGAGCTATGATTGTGCCACTGCACTCCAGCCTGGGGAAGAGAGTAAAACTGTCTCTCTCTCAAAAAATAAAAATAAAAATAAAAAAGTTACTGATCCTATATTACAATTGTTTTTTCTGTAGAGACAAGATCTCACTATGTTGCCCAAGCTGGTTTCAAACCCCAGGTTCAAGCAATCCTCCCACCTCAGGCTTCCAATCCAAGTAGCTGGAACTACAGGTGTGTAACACACCTGGCTAATATTTAAATTTTTTGTCGAGATGGATTCTCATTGTGTTGCCCAGGTTGGTTTTTAACTCCTGTGCTCAAGTGATTCTCCTGCTTCAGCCTTCCAAAGTGCTGGTATTAAAGGCATGAGCCACCTCACCCAGCCTTATCTTACAAAGTAGCTCATACTAGCAGGGGAAAAAGTGATTGCAAACATCAGTTTGCCTCTTAAGCTTCCCCTCCCCAGAATCTTAGCCCCTTGTACCTCATTGTTTCAGTAGCTCACTAATGTTTTAAAGTAGACAATCTCGTATTTTATCTGGCTTCTCCATTGTTCACAGAATTGGAAGTGTGCGGCAATCCAATCTAAAAAGTCTGTTTTGCTTTTTAAATAACTTATAAATGGTTCAATAAAGCTAAGTAAAAAATTCCTCACAATGCTATTTTCTTTCTTTTCCTTTCTTCTTTCCCTCCCTCCCTCTTTCCTTTTTTTCCCTCTTTCCCTCTCTCCCTCCCTTCCTTTTTTGAGACACGGTCTCACTGTTACGCAGGCTGGAGTGCAGTGATACAATCTTAGAATCTCAGCTCACTGCAACCTCCACCTCCCAGGCTCAAGCGATCCTCCCACTTCAGCCTCCCAAGTAGCTGGAACAGGTGTGCACCACCACACTTGGTTAATTTTTGTGGTTTTTTTTTTTTTTGTAGAGAAGGGGTTTCACCGTGTTGCCCAGGCTGGTCTCAAACTCCTAAGCTCTAGCAATTTGCCCACCTCAGTCTCTCAAAGTCCTGGGATTAAACACCACAGGTATAAGTACCACACCTAGACTCTTTTACTTTTTTTTTTTTTTTTTTTTTTGAGATCGAGTCTCACTGCTGCCAAGGCTGGAGTGCAGTGGCGCAATCTCGGCATACTGCAACCTCAGCCTCCCGGGTTCAAGCGATTCTTGTTGCCTCAGCCTCCCGAGTAGCTGGTATTACAGGTACACCACGCCACCGCATCTGGCTAATTTTTATATTTTTGGTAGAGACGGGGTTTCAGCATGTTGGCCAGGCTGGTTTCAAACTCCTGACCTCAGGTGATCCACCCGCCTTGGCCTCCCAGAGTGCTGGGATTACAGGCGTCAGCCACCATGCCCAGCTGAGTTATTGGTCTTTTTCTTAATGAACTGGAAGATACTTTACTTAAAGGAATTAGCTCTTTGTGATGAGTTGCAACTATTTCCCCACTAGTGTGCCACAGCTTCCAATTTCCCTTGTTGTTTTGGTTATGCAGAACTTTTTTATGTAGCCGATTTTTACATACTTTTAAGTTGTGGTGAAATACACATAAGCGTCTATTTTTATTTTTAATATTTTATTTTTCAGAGTCCAGCCTCTGCACAGCCTTAGTACTCCCTGAGAAATTAAACATTTTCACATCCCTTCCACAAAAACGAGAGGAAAAAGGAGCAGTACATTCCAATGACTAATACATTTATTAGTTTCTAACAAAAAGAGGATACATGATAAGAAGAGCAGAAATACTAATAAAGAAATCAGTTTATCTTGAAACCAATTTTAGTCAGGAAGACTTCTTCACAGACAAGTAGCTGAATATATAAATCCTAAATATACCACACCAGAGGCCATTGTTTTTCCATTCTTTTTTGGTCACAGACTATTCCAGACAGATTAAATAAGTTTTAATTTGAGGAGTTCCAAGAATGTCCACTATAAAACATGAAGTGAAACTGCTCTTAGAGAAATACTGATTTGGTGAGAAAACTGATCTTGGTCTGTTTTAGACACATTTGGTTAGTTTATTTTTACTTACCAACGTGACAGTACAGTTGCAAACTATACTTCATTTGCCTACAATCATTACTCAGAGAGCAATCACCTTAAGAGGCAAATTAAGTTTTAAATGAGCACAGAATTTATAATTAACCAATCAAAATTGACATAGATGCCATCAAGTATGCAAAGATTAACAAAATTTCTATTACAAAACTTGGAGGAAAAAGTCTTAATGACATACAAAAATACTGGCAAATTTAAGCTAAATTAGCTCTAGACGTTTTATTCTATTTTCCCACTAAAAGAATAGGTGACTAGGTATCAGTAGAAACGCTGTTAAAGCTACCTGTTCGTTACTAATTAATGAAACCAAAAGATCAACCGTCTCTGAGCTAAATTTCACAAAATGAAATCAGTGTCTTCTGATTTAACTTTCAGGAGTAAGAAAGGGCAAACCCCAAGCATCCTATTTTCTATCTCTGTTCATAAACTCAAATAAGAGCAGCATCAAAACAAAAAAATAATATAAGAAAATACATGATAATGTTTCAGGTTCCATAACATAAGATACTGTGATATAACTCTCCTATAATCTCATTTTTTTCTCCAATAGCAGATGAACAGAAATACAGGTTTCCAAAAATTCACACAATTTAGTAACTAATTTTTATTTTGACACCTGATAGTATAGTGTGAAAAGCTACAAAACCCAAATGTCTCCTGTGTCATTTCACAAAGGAAGGACAAGGGAGCAAACTGCCAAACTGCACCTGCTGCTTCGCCCAGGACCAGTTTCTAACCACCCTTTCAGTTGCAATGATCCCAAACCGTCAGTCACCCCAACCAGCTTCATCCCAGCTCTTAACTCCTTTTGCATAGTCTAGTTTCCTTTCTGGCAACAAATTCTCAATTTCCTAGAAAACCCCGATTTTCATGGCTCAAGCCTGTAATCCCAGCACTTTGGGAGGTCGAGGCGGGTGGATCACAAGGTCAACAGATCGGGACCATCCTGGTCAACATGGTGAAACCCCGTCTCGACTAAAAACACAAAAAATTAGCTGGGCATGGTGGCGCGTGCCTATAATCCCAGCTACTCAGGAGGTTGAGGCAGGAGAATTGCCTGAACCCAGGAGGCGGAGGTTGCGGTGAGCCGAGATGGCGCCATTGCACTCCAGCCTGGGTTACAAGAGCGAAACTCCATCTCAAAAAAAAAGAAAACCCTGATTTTCTGATTTAACACTGATTCGAATCCATTTTAAACGAAAGGAAAGTGGCCAGGCATGGTGGCTCATGCCTGTAATCCCAGCATTTGGAGGCCAAAGCAGGTGGATCCCCCCAGGTCAGGAGTGCAAGAGAATCCCATCTCTACTAGAAATACCAAAAAATTTTAGCTGGTGGCGCACACCTGTGATCCCAGCTACTCGGGAGGCTGAGGCAGGAGAATCGCTTGAACCTGGGAGGCGGAGGTTGCAGTGAGCTGAGATTTCACCACTGCACTGCAGCCTGGACAACAGAGCAAAACTTGGTTTAAAAACAAAAAATCACCAAAGGAATCACTACAATGCTGAAAATTTAATTAAATTGGAGATGGAAATCAGATTACTTCAGGAAAATACATTTGAGTATTCTGTAAACATGGGACAATAGCCAAGAAAATGTGGGTTTTAAACCCTGCATGGGTTCCTTAATTACTTAGAATAGTATAATCGTGATTTGATTACCAGTCATGACAAAAAGGTGAGCAAAGACCAAAAAACATGCATTTTTTTGGAAAAAGAATGGCACTTGAAGACTTCTTCGAGTTGGCCAAGGCATAAGGTATTGTCCTTACAACCACACAGACCTTTCATTAAGGACAATGAGTGTGCCTAGAGAGCAGCATGAATGACACATGTATAAAGATTCTACAATAGAAAAGAGCTTCACAATCCAGCTTTACTAGATTACAAAGCACTCCCTTTAAAGGCATGCATTACTTTGTACATCTGTGAAACATCTGATAAATGCTTTTCTGTGAAATGTTTGGCTGCAGGGAATGAGCACTTCTGGATACATTACAAGGATCTCTAGTAGAATTTGGCGTCTTTCTTCCATTAACTGAATGCCTCAGCTGCATCCTAACAGACAGCTGCCTATTTTCATCCCTTGAGCCTCTCTCAGGTTTTGGGTGTTCTGTATCAGTTTGCCTTTTGAAGTTCCTATCTTTGGAATTCTTCCTCTGTCCATTTCGCACTTTGTCTGGAGGTAAGGATGTAGCACGTAAGTGATACTCATCTGGGGATCCTTTTTGCCGGTTTGGCTTCGTTTGTTCTTTGTCCACTTCCTTCTGAAGTTGTAATGCCAATAACCTGTCCTGTTCTTCTTGTTTATGTCTCTCTAACAGTAGATGCTCCAAATCTATCAGTTTTTGGGTAAAGTTTGTTTCTGTTTCCTCTTGATCTGAGGAAGAGCTGGGGAACATCTTCCTTCTTTTTGCAGAAAAGCATGCATCCTTGACTGCTTCAAAGGAAGATTCTTGGTTTTTTCTTTTGGAAATATCCTTACTGATCAGTAGGCAAGACTCCTCATTTTCTGTCTCACCTGTGTTGTTTCTGTTTGCCTGTGTAATCCCTGATGTGGTGCACCCACTCTCTGTTCTGCCAATAGGCACAACTGCAGTTTCTTTAGAGTCACAATCTCTGGTTTCAGGTCCTTCGGGAGTTAAGACACACGTTGTATCATGATTGTTTGGTCCTGCTTTGACTTTTCTTTCGTGGTACAATTCAGCACCACAGGCACATAACCATGGCATGGGGGACTCCACTGAAGAATCTGCACCTTTTTCTCCAATTCCAAGGCATATCTGTGGAGAAAGTGTTGGCATATCTTCTATTTCTGTGTCTTGCCATGTTGAGCTTTTGATATCACTACTGTCGATGTCCTGTAGAAAACAGAAAAAGACTGAATGAACTAGGGGGAAATATCGAATCGTAAGATGCAAGTCTAATTACACTGATACTACTGCTGACCTGTTAGTATACATTATTCAGTATTACTAATAAGGTTTGTTTATTTATTTAGAGACAGTCTTGCTCTCTCACCCAGGCTGGAGTGCAGTGGCACGATCTCAGCTCACTGCCATCTTCACCTCCCAGGATTAAGTGATTCTCCCACCGCAGCCTCCCAAGTAGGTGTTTGTTTGTTTGTTTGTTTGTTTAGTTTTTTGAGACGGAGTCTCACTCTGTCACCCCGGCTAGAGTACAGTGATGTGATCTTGGCTCACTATAACCTCCACTACCCGGGTTCAAGTGGTTCTCCTGCCTCAGAATTGCTTGAACCCGGGTGGCGGAGACTACAGGTGTGTGCCACCATACCCGGCTAATTTATTTTTAGTAAAGAAGGAGTTTCACCATGTTGGCCAGGCTGGCCTCAAACTCCTAACCTCAGGTATCTGCCCACCTTGGCCACCCAAAGTGCTGGGATTACAGGCGTGAGCCGCCACACCCGGCCGTATTTATTCTTAATAGTATTTTTATTTCATGGGCCAATTTAGATTAAGTAATGTATTACTTCATTTTCACTCCTATGAAAACCTACAGATTAAAACCCACTGAGTATATTCCAAATATGGCCAATAGCTGGTATCAGGACCTGACCTCTTCACCTTACAAAGTTTCGCCAGCACAGTGGTTTTTAACCCTTTTCTGTGCTGTGGACCTTCCTTTTGGTATTTAGGTGAAGTTTACAGACAACTTTTGAGAATAAAGTTTTTAAATAAAAAATTTAGATATACAGTGGCTTTACAAAAGGAACAATATTGTAACGCAATTATTAAAAGATTTTTAAAATGTGATATAATAATGTGCATCTATTAACCCACTAAATAAGATCTACTAGCCAGTCTAATAACTTGTAACATAGAATTGTCTGTGTCATCCCTGATGTACTGCACCCACTCTGTTTTGCCACAAGGTATAACTGCGGTCTAATATCAAAGCAGAGATAAGTATGAATGATATTTAAGGATATCTGTAACATGACTGGGCATGGTGGCTCATGCCTGTAATTCCAGCACTTTGGGAGGCCGAGGTGGGCGGATCACCTGAGGTCAGGAGTTTGAGACCAGCCTGGCCAACATGGTGAAACTCCATCTCTACTAAAAGAACAAAAATTAGCCGGGCATTGGGGTGTAAGCCTGTAGTCCCAACTACCAGGGAAGCTGAGGATCCACGGCACTCCAGCCTGGGCAACACAGATTCTCTCTCAAAAAACAGACAAATCAAAACAAAAAAACCACCTAGTGTTTGGAAGACAAAGCTTGGGACTTAAGTAACTTATAACTGTTAGCTGGGTGTGTTTCTTACCAAAACCCCTGGAAGCTATACCCATTGTTTGTTAAAAGAAATAACTAACACTTACAGGGTATGCAATTTCAAAGTAGTTAATACACTCACTTGTGTGGTCTTATTTCCAGGGTATCACTTTGGAGCTCTGCTGTTGAGGACTCCCACTGAACACACATGCCTGATGCTGCCTTACTAGCACACTTTTCCCCTCATCCTGTAATATTCTTTTTTTTTTTTTTTTTTTTGAGGCAGTCTCATTCTGTCGCTCAGGCTGGAGCGCAGTGGCATGATCTTAGCTCACTGCAACCTCTGCCTCTCAGGTTCAAGTGATTCTTCTGCCTCAGCCTCCTGAGTAGCTAGGACTACAGGTATGTGCCACACATAGCTAATTTTTTTTTGTATTTTTAGTAGAGATGTGGTTTTCACCAAGTTGGCCAGGGTCATCTCAAACTCCTGATTTCAGATGATCCACCCACCTCGGCCTCCCAAAGTGCTAGGATTATGGGCATTAGCCACTGTGCCCAGCTTCCCAACTTATAATACTCCAAGTAAAGCTGGTGCCAGGTATAACCTATTCAGTTTTGTCAGTTTGGATTACATACATAGGTCAAGGATCAGTAATCTATGGTTCATGGACCAAATCCAGCCTCCACCTGTTTTTGTATACGAAGTTTTATTGGAATACATACAAGCTAATTTGTGTACATATTATCTATAGATGCTTTCACAGTATAAGACATCGGGACATAGACCATACTAACCACAAAGGCTAAAATATTTACTCTCTAGCCCATTAGAGAAAAGCTTTGCTTTCTAAGGTAGATTTGCTTTCTGTATTAAGTGTATTTTAAAAATTGTAAAGTTTCCTTCAGAGAAAAAGAAAAAGTGCTTTTTCTCTAGGTGAGCCTAAGATGACTAAGAGTGTTTTGATTAACAACAGTGGGTTTTTTTTTGGAGATGGAGTCTCACTTTGTCGCCAGGCTAGACTGGAGTGCAGTGTGTAATCTTGGCTCACTGCAACCTCTGCCTCCTGGGTTCAAGTGATCCCACTGCCTCAGCCTCCGAGTAGCTGGGACTACAGGCACACACCACCACACCCAGCTAATTTTTGTATTTTTAGTAGAGACGGGGTTTCACCATGTTGGCCAAAATGGTCTCAATCTCTTGATCTTGCGATCCACCCGCCTTAGCCTCTGAAAGTGTTGGGATTACAGGCATGAGCCAATGTGCCCAACCAACAACAGTGGCCTTTTTTTAAAGTTAGAACACTACGAGTATTGGTAATCTATAGCATTAATAAACCAGCAAAACTCAGAACATCTTCAGTATCAACATACCTTAGATATGGAGTTTTCTCTGACTTCTTGTGCAACTTCAGAGTGTGAGGCTGACCCAAACTGAGATTTAGGTGTCAAATACCTTAAAAAAGAGTTTACCAAAGTTTGAATGCTTTGAAAGACAGACAGTATGTACCAACATAATAAAACCAAATTAATGATTTATACCGAAGGTTGTCTGGTTTACTGCTTGACTGATTTATCAGAGTTTATTTCATTTTGGTGCTTCAGGTATTTTGGTCTAATTCCAGGACAAAACTTGAATGGTTGAGTATTGATGTTTCAGTGAAAAACAGAAGAGGAAGTAAAAGTCAAATCTAAATATTTCTTCTTTTTTTTTTTTGAGATGGGGTCTCACTCTGTTATCCAGGCTGAAGTGCAGTGGCATGATCTTGGCTCATTGCAACCTCCACCTCCTGGGTTCAAACGATTCTCCTGCCTCAGCCTCCCAAGTAGCTGGGATTACAGGTGTGTACCACCAGGCCCAGCTAATTTTTGTGTTTTTAGTAGAAATGGATTTTCATCATATTGGTCAGACTAGTCTCAAACTCCTGACCTCGTGATCCACCTGACTTGGCCTCCCAAAGTGCTGGGATTACAGGCATGAGCCATCGTGCCTGGCCTAAATATTTCTTAATTCTTGAAAAAAGCTTAAAAAAGCAGATAGCAGGGGCAGGGCACAGTGGCTTAAGCCTGAAATCCCAGCACTTTGGGAGGCCAAGGTGGGTGGATCAACAAGGTCAGGAGCTCGAGACCAGCTGGCCAAATAGTGAAACCCCATCTCTACTAAAAATACAAAAAATTAGTCGGGTGTGGTGGTGGGTGCCTGTAATCCCAGCTACTTGGGAGGCTGAGGCAGGAAAATGTCTTGAACCTGGGAGGCAGAGGCTGCAGTGATCCAAGATCACGCCACTACACACCAGCCTGGGCAACAGTGTGAGACTCTGCCTCATGCCCAGGTAATTTCTCTATTTTTAGTAGAGATGGGGTTTCACCATGTTGGCCAGGCTGGTCTCGAACTACTGACCTCAGGTCATCTGCCTGCTTCAGCCTCCCGAAGTGCTGGGATTACAGGCATGAGCCACTGTGCCTGGCCCTCAACTCTCTTCCTAGAAATATACATATCTTTTCATTTCTAAGAATCTTTAATAGGCTGTTTGCCATTGAAAACATGAAGTTTTTAATATAATGGAAAATATTATTAAAAAAGGGGGGAATAAAAAAGGCAGGGTGCAAGATGGTAGGTATAGTTTAAAAATTGTATTGCTTTGCTTTTTATACACTGAGATTTGAAAAATATAAAAATAAATAAAAATCACAAAATATCCAAACGTACAAATTTGTTTAAATTACTATGTTTAAAAGTGGCAGAAATCTCCCAAAATGTTGGCTGTCTCCAAATGGTGGTAAATTTGGGTGATTTTCAAAGAGCAGCAAGCTATTATTACATTTAGAATTAAAGGAGGAAGAAAAAGAAAAAAAAGTGACTATAAATAATACACAAATTCATACGTTACACTGTGTCAAAAGCACCAACAAGTAGCATATGGAACAATAAAACCTAGACAGAGATCTCATATAAAGAACTAATGAATATTCCTTACGGGCAACAAGAGTATCTAAAGATATTTAGTTATACCAATCAATATGTTTACTCTGTAAACTTTGAAGAACAAGAACCAAATTTTCAGTTGAAAAGAAGCTGTCTCATGTAGTTTCTCAAGGCTGAAGAATTCCTTCTGCCAATGCCGATGCTGGCCCACTAGTTACAAAGTACATCAGTACCAAAGTATTATTGCTACAATTGTTTTTAAGTTCATAAGCAGAGAACAAAATGTTATGACTTATCCAACAGAATCAGTCAAGATTCATTAACTCTCTTGGATAGCCCTCATTTATAATAACCAAGTAAGGTATGAATACATGCTCTTTCTAAAAAATAAGCAGAACTGGCCGTGGTGGTTCATGCCTGTAATTCTAACATTTTGGGAGGCTGAGGTGGGGGGATGATTTGAGGCCAGGAGTTTGAGACCTGGACAACAAAGCAAGACCCATCTCTATAAAAAATTAGAAAAAACAATCAGCTGGACATAATGGTGTGTGCCTATAGTCCCAGCTAATCTGGAGGCTGAGGTGGGAGGATCACTTGAGCCCAAGAGTTTGAGGCTGCATTGAGCTATTCTCTTGCCACTATAGCCTAAGTGACAGTGAGACCCTGTCTCTTAAAACAGAAATACAGGACATTTATGTCATCAACCCTTTCCCGACTCATATTTTAAGAATTTTCTTTTTCTTTTTTCCTTGAGTCTGAATTTTTGGGATCCATTCCCCTTTGCTTGCCATTCCCATTTCCTTTACGTGTTAAGTTTAGCCTAAAGCTGCCTCCTTACATATTTTAAGGTTTCTCGCTATATAGTGAACTATAGCCTAAAAATGGAGGTGTAAACAGTCTGTACATTCACCAAGTTTTGGCCAAAGGGGGCCAGCTTGATATCATGTTCAAATAAGGTAAATGCTGAGCTGTAATAACGAACCACTCTGGCTGTTTCTGCACCTCACTTCTGCTTTCCGTTCAGAAAAGCACTTTCCCTTTTCTTCCATCTTCTTCCAACATGCGGTTTTACTGCAGTCTCTCTAAACCTACTCTGACTCGGGAGGCTACCCAATTTGTGAATTGCCCTTTGTTTAGTTAAACTCTTAATTTGTCTACAGTTTTCCTTCTAACATTTACAACCAATTAAAAAAAATATATGATTTCTATATAACACACACTATCTTTTTATTTATTTCATTTATTTATTTTGTTTGGAGATAGAGTCTCACTCTGTCACCCAGGCTGGAGTACAATGGCACGATCTCTGCTCACTGCAACCTCTGCCTCCTGGGTTTAAGCAACTCTCCTGTCTCAGCCTCCCAGTAGCTGGGATTACAGGTGTCTGCCACCACACCCAGCTAATTTTTGTTTTTTTTGGTAGAGACAGGGTTTCGCCATGTTGGCCTGGCTGGTCTTGAACTCCTGACCTCGGGTGATTTGCCCCCTCTGGCCTCCCAAAGTGCTGGGATTACAGGCGTGAGCCACGACACCTGGCCATTATTTTATTTTTTGAGGCAGGGTCTCACTCTCTCACCAAGGCTGGAGTGCAGTAGCACCATCATGGCTCACTGCAGCTTTGACCTCCCAGTCTCAAGCAATCCTCCTACCTCAGCCTCCCAAATAGCTGGGACCACAGGCACATGCCACCATCCCCCTAATTTCTGTATTTTTTGTAGAGACAGAGTTTCCCCATGTTGCCCAGGCTGGTCTCAAACTCCTGGGTTCAAGTAATCCACCTGCCTTGGCCTCCCAAATTGCTGGGATTGCAGGTATGAGCCACTGCACCCAGCCTCATACTTTTTTTTTTTGAGACAAAGTCTCACTCTGTCGCCTAGGCTGGTGTGCAGTGGCACGACCATGACTCACTGCAACCTCTGCCTCCCAGGTTCAAGCTATTCTCCTGAGTAGCTGGGATTACAGGTGCCTGCCACCATGCTCTGCTAATTTTTTTGTATTTTTGGTAGAGATGAGGTTTCACCATCTTGGCCAAGCTGGTCTTGAACTACTGATTTTGTGATCCACCCACCAGGTCCTCCCAAAGTGCTGGGATTACAGGCCATGGTGCCCGTCCCTTTTCACATACTTATTAGCTTTCAGGTTTCATTTACTGTGAAGTCAAAGTTCTTTGCTCATTTTTCTCTGGAGCATCTTTTTCTCATTAATAGACGGATATTCTTTAATAGTAACTTTTTGTCAGTTAAAGAAGTTAAAATATCTTCTTGAAGTCTGCAGCTTATCTTTTTATTCTCTATAGGTATTTTGATAGATATTCTTAAACTGTGGTATGTTTCTAAGCTACCTATTCTGTTGCTTCAGTCCATTTGTCTGTTCATCCCAGTGTTCTCTCTCTCTCTCTCTCCCCACCCCCCCCCACCTCCCGCTCCCTCCCTCTCTCCCCACCCCTCCCCGGACTCAACTCAAGCTCAAACAATTCACCACACCCAGCCACATTTTTTCTTCAGCAGTATCTTTTCAACACGAATTTTATTAAAGTCAGTGTGTTGTGTTAAAAAAACAAGTTGGAATTCTGACTCGAATTGCATTGACTCTATAGATCAATTTGAGGAGATCTAACCATTTTGTAGTATTAGGCATCTTCTAACTCATGAATATTGTATATTTAACACAATATAATTTTCTCCATGGGTCTTACAGATTTTTCTTTTTTTAAGACATGGTCTTGCTCTGCTGCCCAGGCTACAATGCAGTGGTACCATCATAGCTCATTGCAGCCGCAACCTTCCAAGCTCAAGTGGTCCTCCTACCTCAGCCATCTGAGTAGCTGCGACTACAGGTGTGCGTCATCATGCCTGGTTGATTTTTAAAAATTTTTTAAGAGATGGAGTCTCCCTATGCTGCCCAGACTGGTCTCAAACTCAAACTCCTGGGTTTAAGCAATCCTCCTGCCTTAGCCTCCCACGTAGCAGGTACCACAGGTACGTGCCACAGTGCCTGGCTGCACTTTCTTCTCTTCTGATATGGCATGTAAAGCCTTCTAAATACCACTTCAGCCACATACCAATTTTCATGCATATTTTCAGTTCTCTATTTCCAACAAAATTGACTCTGTAATCAACAAGCTGTTTAGAAGTTTTCCTTAATTTTAAACCTATATAATCCTGTTATTCATTTTAAATTTTTGAATTGAGGTGGAATTCACATAAAATGGAATGCCATATTTTATTTATCCATTCATTTGTTAATTGACAAATGAATTTGGGCTGTTTCCATTTTTTGGTTATTTGAATAATGTTGACACAAATATTCATGTACAAGTATTTGTTTGAATACCTGCTTTCAGTTCTTTTGGGTAGAATTCTAGGAGTAGAATTGCTGGGTTATATGCTAATTCTGTTTAACTTTTTGAAGAATCACCAACTGTTTTCTACAGCCACTACACCATTTTACATTCCTACCAAGCAAAGCAAAAGTATTCCAACTTATCCACATCTTTGTCAACACTTACTATTTTCCCTTGTGGATTTTAGCCATCCTAATGTGTATGAAATGCTATCTCACTATGGTTTTGATATGCAGTTCCCTAATGACTAATGATGTGAGGCATCTTTTCATGTACTTAGTGGACATTTGTACTTCATAGAGAAAACATCTACTTGAGTCCCTCTGTCCAGTTTTTAATTATTTGTCTTTTTTTTTTTTTTTGAGACGGAGTTTTGCTCTTGTTACCCAGGCTGGAGTGCAATGGCGCGATCTCGGCTCACCGCAATCTCCGCCTCCTGGGTTCAGGCAATTCTCCTGCCTCAGCCTCCCGAGTAGCTGGGATTACAGGCACGCACCACCGTGCCCAGCTAATTTTTTGTAATTTTAGTAGAGACCGGGTTTCACCATGTTGACCAAGATGGTCTAGATCTGTTGACCTCATGATCCACCCGCCTCGGCCTCCCAAAGTGCTGGGATTACAGGCGTGAGCCACCGCGCCCAGCCAATTATTTGTCTTTTTTTGTTGAGTTTTAAGAGTTTTCACATATTCTAGAGAACAGACTTTGTTTTTAATATTGTTACAACTTTAACCCATCAGTTTCTCAATTTTTGCTTTTAAATCTTTATTCTTATATTTCTGGTAAATTTTAAAAATATATTTCAAAGTATATATTTAGATATATAAGGATTCATGAGTTCCAGCCTTAAGCAGAATATTATATCAATAAGAAATACTTCTGCATTTTAGTGGTTTTTCTATTCATTTTTACTTTGCATATCATGAGTATTAGCAACACTGATATTGTCACTTTTTTTTTCTTGAGACAGAGTCTCGCTCTGTCACCCAGACTGTAGTTCAGTGGTGTGATCTCGGCTCATTGTAGCCTCTGCCTCCCGAGTTCAGGCAACTCTCCCACCCCAGGTTCCAGAGTAGCTGGGACTACAGGCGCCAACCACCACACTCAGCTAACTTTTTGTATTTTTAGTAGAGAGGGAGTTTCACTGTGTTAGGCAGGATGATCTTGATCTCCTGACCTTGTGATCTGCCCACCTTGGCCTCCCTGAGATTACAGGTGTGAGCCACACATTTTTTTTTTATTTATTTTTTTTTTTTTTTAGAGAAAAAGAAGGGGGAAAAAAAGAAAAAGAGGGAAAAAGGAATATTACTTCATTCCTAAAATGGGTTTCAATAATGGCCGATCAATATTTTGAGTGTTTAAAGTGGTTAATGCATATTTTATATGTTTAAAATGGAGACCTCTATTGTGTTTATTTGTTCTGGCTCTGAGTTCAAGTCCTGGATATCGTTATCAATTTGTTGTCTCGTTGAATCTAAATCTCATTATGTGTCTTATGTATCTGGGTGTTAAGATCTCTTATTGTTGCATTAATCCTTTTACCCCTGCATCCTTGTAGCTTTGAAATCTATTTATTATTAAGTGTGAGAATTGCAACTCTGGCTTTTTATTTATTTATTTTTGCTCTCCATTTGGTTGGTGAGTTTTTTTCCATCCCCTTGTTTTGAGTCTTTGTATATCTTTAGATATATGGTTAGATTTTGTGGATAATGTATATTTTGTGTGTTTAAAATGGAGAGCTCTATTGAGTTTATTTGTTCTGGATCTTAGTTCCAGTCCCGGATATGGTTACCAATTTTCTGTCTCGTTGAATCTAAATCTCATTATGGGTCTTATGTATCTGGGTGTTAAGATCTCTTATTATTACATTAATCTTTACCCTTGTATCCTTGTAGCTTTGAAATCTATTTTGTCAAATGTAAAAATTGCAACTCCTGCTTTTTATTTATTTATTTTTGCTCTCCATTTGGTTGGTACATTTTTTTTTTTTCCAACCCTTTATTTTGAGTCTATGTATATCTTTGGATATACCATTAGATTTTGTCTGTATCTTTTGATTGGGAGATTTGGTCGATTTAAATTTAGGGTTGCTGCCGTTTGATATTAACTGGCTATTTTGTCCTTTCGTTGATAAAAATTTTTCTTTATGTTAACGCTCTTTACTTTTTGGTGTGTTTTTAGAAAGGGTCATACTGGTTGTTCCTTTCTGTGTATAATACTTCTTTTAGAAGTTCTTGTAAAGCCGGCCTGGTGGTAATAAAATCTCTGAGTACTTGCTTGTTCCTAAAAGATTTTATTTTTCCTTCAAATGTAAAGCTTAAATTGGCAGGATATGAAATTCTGGGCTGAAAGTTCTGTTGATTAAGTATATTGAATATTGGCCCCCACTCTCTTCTAGCTTGCAGGGTTTCCGTTGAGAGATCTGCTGTAAGCCTAATAGGCTTACCTTTATGGGTAACTTGATCTTTCTCTCTGGCTGCCCTTAATATTTTCTCCTTCGTTTCGATCTTGGTGAATCTAACGATTATGTGCCTTGGGGTTGGTCTTCTTGAGGAATATCTTTGTGGTGTTCTCTGTATTGCCTGGGGTTGAATAGTGTCCTGCTTTGCTAAATGAGGAAAATTTTCCTGGATAATGTCCTGGAGAGTATTTTCCAGCTTGAATTCATTCTCTCTGTCACATTCAGGTACACCAATCTAGCGTATATTAGGTCTTTTCACATAGTCCCATATTGCTTGGAGACTTTGCTCATTCCTTTTTATCCTTTTTTCTCTATTCTTGTCTTGTTGTTTTGTTTCATTAAGTTGATCTTCGACCTCCGATACCCTTTCTTCTGCTTGATCCATTCGGCTGTTTAAGCTTGTACATATTTCACTAAGTTCTCGTGTTGTATTTTTCAACTCCATAAGTTCATTTGTATTCCTCTCTATATTGTCTATTCTTTTCAACATTTCATCTAACCTTTTTTCCAAGTTCTTAGTTTCTTTACATTGGGTTAGAACAAGTTCCTTTAACTCCCAGAAGTTTCTTATCATCCACCTTTTAAAGCCTACTTCAGATAATGGAACACAGTCCTTTTCCATCAGGGCTTGTTCCGTTACTGATGAGTCCTTTTCCTTCAGGGCTTGTTCGGTTGCTGATGAGTCCTTTTCCATCAGGGCTTGTTCCGTTGCTGATGGGTTCTGATTTTGAGTATACTCGGCCTTCTTAGGCTGTTTTTTTCCCTTCATTGTAGATGAACCGCCTTTCTAATTAGGTTTCTGAGTCGACATCCGATTTATTGATTCCCAGTGCTGGGATCCGAGCAACCCACTGTGGCAGCCTAAATAGCAGCAATAAGACTGATGGTGCTCTTCTGCCTGGGAATCTCTGGTCTGGCTTCCCTCTTGAGTCCACAACAAGCGGCTCTGACTTCCCGGAGCTCCAAACTCCGATCAGTAGGGGAAGCGGTCCCATTGGCTCTGCATGAAGAGCTGCTGCGCCAAGACGCCAGCAAAACCACTGCGGCGGCCACAAGAGTCGCGCTGGCGACCCGTGGGGCTCCTCCACTGGGAATCGGCTGATCGGTGAGTGACGAAAATTCGTCTAAAAGTGTGGCGTCGCCTCGTTCTCTGGGCTTTCACTGGGAGCTACAATCCTGAGCTGTTAGTGGTCGGCCATCTTGGATCGATCTCTCACATTTTTTTTTTTAATAGCACCTGCCTCATTTAACATTCTCTTCTGCTGTTTCCTTCCACCTCAGATCAAAAATTTCAACAAATCCTGGAAGGAGGTAAGTTATCTGCACAATTTACTCAGCTGAACCAGAAGTCATTACATATTTTTCAACTCTAAATTATGGTTTTTAAACTTTCCAGCTATGAATTACTACTATGGGAAAGCTTATGTTCGCATAAGCCACCAACTCTGCCAAGTACCTGATCCTGGAGGGGTGTTGTGGTAAAACATAATCACTCCACCTTTGACTACCTGGCTCATGCTTTTCTGTATAACAGAGAAGAAATCTGATGACAGATTGTAAACTCCTTCAATGAAGATAAGCCAATCTGGGACCAGTTTTTCTCATTTGAATTTAAACCAAGAGAAAAAGGAATCCAACAGTTCATTTTACGAAAATGAGGGTAACTAGAAATCCTGAGCCAGTATGATAAACTACAAATCTGCCACAATAAGTGGCTGAGTGAAAAGCCTGCCAGATTTCACCTACCTCTTCATGCTAGCTAAGAGGAAGCTGTGTGAGTCTTGTACAGTGAAGCTCTTCTTTGCACAGTACCTTAATCTCAGACTATTTTCATACAAAGTTCATGGACCAAACTTTGAGAATCAGTAGTCTATATGAACAGAAAACACTGGCATATAGTAGGAAGTCAATAAATAATTCATAGTCATGTTCACTTACTTCTGAATATCTCCAATGTTTCTTTGTTTGTTCTTACTTTTCTTTTCAGACTTGGCTCTAACTGGATCAGATTTTCTGGAATTCAAGGGAGAAACCAAGATACTTCCCTCACAGAAATTATTCTTCAACAAGAGAAAAAGCATAACAGACATTATGAGTGAGAACTTTATGATAAAATAAGCTATTAACTAGACTAATTCAGAAATCCACAGCATTTTTCAGAAATTATAGTTACATTTAAATTTTATACATCCTTTGACTAATATTGACCATGCAAAAATCAGAATAAACTAAGTTCATCCAAGTTGGTCTAAATTAATTACATTTTCACTGTACATCATCAAGTACAAAAAAAGACATAATACTAATCTCATTAGCTTATAATTCCTGTTGATTCTTTTCTTTTCTTTTTTTTTTATAAAAAGACAGGGTCTCACTCTGTTGCCTGGGCTAGAATGCAGTGCAGCAATCATGGCTTATTGCAACCTTGACCTCCCAAGTAGCTTGGACTACAGGCATGAGCCGCCATGCTTGGCTAGGTGCATTTTTTTGTTTTGTTTTGAGACAGTCTTGCTCTGTCATCCAGGCTGGAGTGCAGTGGACCAATCATAGCTCACTGCAGCCTCAACCTCCTGGGCTCAAGAAATCCTCCCATCTTAGCTTCTTGAGTAGCTAGGACTACAGGCATGCACCACTATGCCCAGCTATTTTAAAAATGTTTTGTAGAGATGAGGTCTCACTATGTTGCCCAGGCTGGTCTCCAACTGTTAGATTCAAGTGATCCCCCCACCTCAGCCTCCCAAAGTGTTGGGATTACAGGTCTGAGCCCCTGCACCCAGCCTGATGATTTTTCTAATAAATACTTTTATATAATTACTTTTATCTACAGGGACATAGTCAAAGAGCTGTGGATAGACTTCAAATAAGAGTTTTATGTAATAATAATTTTGTTGTGGACTTTAAGGGCATTTCAATAAAAATCACAAATATTTACTTGTTGTACCAGTCTCATAAGTTTCTTACTACCCTAATGGAAAAGTTCATATATGGTAATGGTGAATATTTGGCCTTAAACCACCAAACTTTCACAAATAAATGAAAAAGTATTCTAGGCTGGGCACAGTAGTTCACGTCTGTAATCCCAGCACTTTGGGAGGCCAAGGTGGGTGGATAACATGAGGCCAGGGGTTCAAGACCAGCTTGGCCAACATGGTGAAACCCTGTCTCTACTAAAAATACAAAAATGAACAGGGTGTGGTGGCCTGCGCCTCTAGTCCCAGATACTCTGGAGGCTGAGGCACAAGAATCTCTTGAACCTGGGAGCTGAGATCGTGCTACTGCACTCCAGCATGGGTGACGAGTGAGTATCTGTCTTAATATAACAATAAGTTAAAAATAATTATTCTACAATATCAGTTATAAAAGTAGATTTTACTCTTATAATACCATGGGAAAACTAGACAAATTTCTTCCCCCTACTCCATTTATTATTCCATTGGTCAATGACTTTTATTTAGTTTCCTGATTATGTATCTTTCTAAAGTGATTCTACTCAAAAAAGACACATGAAAAGGGGCAAATAACCCAAAACTTGGGTAGATTATAAATGGCAGGCCTCTCAAAAAAGAAAAAAATTCCCAATTCTGAGTATACTCATTTTGCTAAGTGCATATATATACACACACATGATTCAATGGTAAGTGTATTTTAAGATATTTGTTGTTTGAAAGCTGAGAAGTTGTTTTCAGAGGCTCTGAAACCTGAATGTTTCAGACTTCCCTAGATGCCTCTGAAGATGGTATTCCCTAGGTCCCATCCCTAGAGACCCTGATTTAATATATTTGGAGTAAATATGAGAGTTTGTATTTTAAAAAAATTCCCAGGTTATTCTCCCAGGCTCTTTCAAACCACTGGATCCCAATGTATCCTCTGGTCTTAAAGTATGTGTTTTATCACACATCCTTTAATTCATTTTCTTACAGGCAGCAATTTAACTACAAGAAGAATAAAATCCAAGTTTAATACATTATCTAAAAATTTAATGTGCTTTACTTTTTTTTTTTGAGAGAGAGTGAGTCTCACTCTCTCACCAGGCTGGAGTGCAGTAGCATGATCTCAGCTCACTGCACCCTCCACCTCCCGGGTTCAAGCAATTCCCCTGCTTCAGCCTCCCAAGCAGCTGGGACTACAGGTGTGGGCCACCACGCCCAGCTAGTTTTTTGTATTTCAGTAGAGATGGGGTTTCACCATGTTGGCCAGGATGGTGTTGATCTCCTGACCTTGAGATCCACCCGCCTCAGCCTCCTAGTGTGCTGGGATTACAGGCATGAGCCACTGCGCCTGGCCAATGTGCTTTACTTTCAAAAAGTGATTTACATCCATAAAATGGAATATTATTCTACTCTTTAAGAGAATTAGATTGACCACATGTAGTAATATGAAAAATCTCTAAGATATATCAAGTGGCAAAAATGCAAGCAGCAAAAGTGTGACTGATTTATGTAATCCATTTTAGGTGAATAAAGAAAAGAAGGCTTTTTCTTTAGACAGCCTTCCAGGTTGAAGTACAGTGGTGAGATCAGCTCACTTGAACTCAAACTCCTAGGTTCAAGGGATCCTCCTGCCTCAGCCTCCCCAGTAAGTGGAACTGCAGTCATGCACCACCACACTCGACTCATTATTTAATTTCTCATTTTGTTGCCGAGGCTGGTCTCAAACTCCTGGAATTATAGGCATTAGCCATTGCACCTTGGCAAGAAAAAAGTTATAAGAAATGTTAGCCGGGCACAGTGGCTCAAGCCTGTAATTCCAGCACTTTGGGAGGCCGAGGCGGGTGGATCACAAGGTCAAGAGATCGAGACCATCCTGGTCAACATGGTGAAACCCCATCTCTACTAAAAATACAAAAAATTAGGGCATGGTGGTGTGTGCCTGTAATCCCAGCTACTCAGGAGGCTGAGGCAGGAGAATTGCCTGAACCCAGGAGGCGGAGGTTGCGGTGAGCCGAGATCGCGCCATTGCACTCCAGCCTGGGTAACAAGAGCGAAACTCCATCTCAAAAAAAAAAAAAAACAAAGAAAGAAATGTTAATGGTGTTTACCTTTGGGGAAAGAGACTGATATAAATAGAAAAAAAATGGGAGTGGATAGGTGGAAGAAGGAAAAAGGAAGCTTTCATTCTTCACTGAATAGCTTTCCTACATATAAAAAAAAAGTTTTCAAACAACCTGCGGTGGCTCACACCACAATCCCAGCACTTTGGGAGGCCGAGGCAGGTGGATGGCTTGAGCCCAGGAGCTCGACACCAGTTCAGGAAACATGGCAAAACCCTGTCTCCACAAAAAATTGCAAGGCATGATGGCACAGGCCCGTAGTCCCAGCTACTCGGGAGGTTGGGAGGATCACCTGAGGCCAGTGGTGGAGGCTGCAGTGAGCTGTGATTGTACCACTGCACTCCAACCTGTGTGACAGAGTTAAAACCTGTCTCAAAAAACAAAAACTTACCCCAAAAACCTGGATTAGAGCAAATATGAAACAATATGCAAAAAAAATTTTCTTTAAGTAAAACAAAAATGTCATCAATAGCTTCTAATTATGGCAATCACCGTCTCTTCTTTTCTTCGAAAACAACAGTCAAAGCAATAAGAATGTTAATAGTTAGCTTTCCATATCAGCAGGTACCAAACACTCAAATTCAACCAGCCTGGGTGGAAAAGACAGTATTTGTGGGATGCAGAACCTGAAAATACAAGGAGCTGACTTTTTGTATGAGCAGTCTGCAACGGATACCAAGGGATGACCGTACCCCAACATTCTCTCGTAAAACTTACAATATCAATGCTTAACTTTCTTGCCAGTTCTTCATCATTTTTCAGTTGTTCTTCCATCTCTCTTCGCCTTTTTTCTGCCTGTCTTCTGTCCTCCTCTTCCTCCTCTGCCAATAACCTCTGTATGTATTCTTCACTGGCTTTGTTTTCTTCTTCCTCAGTGGCTCGTCGCTCTGCCTCCACCTTAAAAGTGATTAAGAGAAAGCAATCCTTCTCTGATTGTTTTAGTATACTTGCAATATTCCATAATAAGAATAGGGAAAGTAGGAAAGAAACAAATCGGCAGAAACTTAAATGATCTCAAATGAGGTACAAATCTGGAGAAACAGAGTCTGCAAGACAGCTGTCCTGTCTCAGCCTCCCAAAGCACTGAAATTATAGGTGAGACTCCACACCCAGCCTGAGATGTATTACAAGTGAAAATTACAAAAAACATTTTGAAGACTAACAAAAAAAGAGAAAAATCTCTACGTATAACTTTATATGTAATTAAAACATAATACTTCACTGGAAACACCACTTTTTAGGTACTTTTCCTATTTTGGGACTTCACATTTAGCCCGTTAACGTTTCTTCATCTAAACCCTTCATCTGCCACTCTTTTTCTTTCTTTTAAGCTCAAAACTTTAGGGAAATTTAAAAAAATGTCCTGGTATGGATTAAATTAGAAAAAAAAGAATTTAAAAATTTCCTTCATACTTAAATGCTTAGGGATCATGATCACATAAGAACATTAATTACGTATAGGTAAATTATAGCAAAAAACAAAGCCCTTATAAAAAGCATCAAAATTATCTACACTTCAAGATACAATAGTAATATAAGCACATCAAACTAAATTAAAATCTGAAACTGAAAACACAACAGAGAAATTTTCCAAAAAAAAAAAAAAAGAGTATTTAGCACCTACCTTGCTTATTTCCTCTTCGTATTCTCTTCTCAATTCCCCAGGTTTACTTAACAGACGAACTGGCTGATAGTCATAAGCTATTTCATATCAGAAAACAAAATAACATTATAAGCAACACAATTTTATGGTAACTTTGGTCATCCACTAAAACTTACTAATATTAATACGAAAAATTAAAGCATTCAGCTATTAACAACTATAGCAGTATCTCCTTTTGGAATTCCATTTTTTAAATTTATTTAATTTTTTTTGAGACAGAGTCTCGCTCTGTTGCTCATTACAGGCATGTGCCAGCACACCTGGCTAATTTTTCACATTTTTGGTAGAAACAAGGTTTCTACCATGTTAGCCAGGCTGGGCTCGAACTCCTGACCTCAAGTGATTTACCCACATCAGCTTCCCAAAGTGCTGGGATTACAGTCATGAGCCACTGCACAAGGACAGAGGTTTAGAGTTTTTGGTTTGAAACAGCATATGAATGCATATACTTAATCCTTCCTCTAAACTCTAGTAAAAGAATTTTTAAGAACTGTAATCCTATAACAGCAGAGATTAGCAGAGGAGATTAACCAATTTAATTAATTTTTTTTTTTTTTTTTTTGAGACAGAGTTTTGCTCTGTTGCCCAGGCTGGAGCGCGGTGACACGATCTCAGCTCACTGCAACCTCTGCCTCCCAGGTTAAAGCAATGCTCATGCTCAGCCTCCCCATTAGCTGGGATTACAGGCATGCCCCGCATGCCTGACAAAGATTTGTATTTTTATTAGAGACCGGGTTTCGCCACGTTGGCCAGGTTGGTTTTGAACTCGAAACCTCAAGTAATCTGCCTGCCTGAGCCTCCCAAAGTGCTGGGACTACAAGGTGAGCCGCTGTGCCTGGCCCCAGTTAAAAACATTTTAACAAATTTCTAGAAAATGTGAAGGCAATGAAATAGAGATGACTGCTACAGCAGAAATGAAGGAAAAGAAATCCTTGCAAGGGGAAGACTACAGCTAAGGTAGAATAAGAAGGAATCCGCCTCCTATTTACCTACAGAGAGGCTCAATAGAATCCAGAGTGAGTAAGGGTAGCACCGAAAAACAGAACTCAAGGTTTATACATTAAATCAGAACCCCTGACTTATCAGCATTTCTCACTGGATATGGGTGTAAGTGCACACAAGCATATTTCTTAAAAGAAACCAATCTTGAGAGAGCCAGAGCAGCTAATGTAAGAGGTGACAATCCAGAGCAAAGTCCTCTGCAATCTGGCAGTTAGGGATGGCAAAGCACAAAGGCCAGATTTCCATCTGCTTGAACCCAAACAATCTCTGCCCATCACCAATATACCCTTCCATGTACACAGAGCATTTGTCCCGGGCCTCATTCTCAAATCTGAAAGCTAATCCAAGGATCATCAGACATTTGAAAGACATCTGCAGGATTAGAGAAACAGTAAGCTATACAAAAAGAAAAAAATCATCATCCTGGAGTTAGAAGATAATTCTAGGTCAGAAAATAACCTAAATGCGTGTATGTGTCCTCAGCGAATCTGATGAGATTTTATTCTGTAAAACAAGATACTGTAAAAAAGGAACACCCAGAAAGAGAACGCATCTGCCTGTTTCACGGGGCAGCTGCTACTCAATTCCAGCTGACTATGACTATCAGGAAACTCAGGCCTATCACTGCCATATTTTTGCTGTCTCAAGAAAATTCAGAGGTGGCAGGGGTGGATGATGAGAGATGACAGAATGGGTACAATGTACATTATTTGGGTAACAGATACCCTAAAAAGCCATGACTTTACCACTATGCAATCTATATATATAACAAAATTACCTTGCACCTGTAAATTTATCCAAGTAAAAAGACAAAAAAAAGAAAATCCAGACGTTAATATGAAATCTTCCAATTTAAATATTGGCATTGGATGGGTCAAAAAAAAACATGCACACAGGATTCCCCTAGCCTGCAGGCCAGAAGTTCAAAATATCTGCAACAGAGGAACTAAAAAACAGTGAGGTAACTCCATAACAATTAGGGATGCAGTATGCTGAATTCGCATTTATTTTAGTCACTAAGGAGGATCTATCCAAGACAATACAATGGTATACACATATATAAGGCTCCTTAAGAAGTAGGAGGGTATTCAGGGACTAAAACTGAGATCTAGATCAGCAGGTCTCAAAGTAGAATCTATGAACCCCTATAGGTATCCACAACTATTTTAAGGGAAACTGCAGTGTCAAACTATTTTCATTTAAAAAATTAAGGTAAGCTGAGTGCAGTGGCTCACACCTATAATCCCAGCACTTTGGGAGACTGAGGTGGGTGGATTACCTGAGGTCAGGAGTTCGAGATCAGCCTGGCCAACATGGTGAAACCCCATCTCTACTAAAAATACAAAAATTAGCCAGGTATGACAGCAGGCGCCTATAATCCCAGCTATTTGGGAGGCAGGAGAATCACTTGAAGCCAGGAGGTGGAGGTTGCAGTGAGCCAAGACTGCTTCTGACTGCACTCCAGGCTGGGTGACAAAAGTGAGACTCCATCATCCCCATAAAAAACAAAAAAAAAAAACAAAAAGCAAATAAAACAACTGACAGTAGGCCGGGTGCAGCGGCTCACGCTTGTAATTGCAGCACTTTGGGAGGCTGAGTCAGGTGCATCACTTGACGTCAGGAACTCGAGACCAGCCTGGCCAACATGGTGAAACCTCATCTTTGCCAAAAAATACAAAATTAGATGGGCACAGTGGCAGGCACCTGTAATCCCAGCTACTGGGGAGGATGAGGCATGAGAATCACTTGAACCTGGGAGGTGGAGGTTGCAGTGAGCTGAGATCGTGCCACTGCAGTCCAGCCTGGGTGACAGAGTGAGACCCTGTCTGAAGAAAAAAAAAGTAGGAAGGGTTAAAAAAAAAGCCCAGGTGGTTAAGAGGGACAGCACTTCTCTTACAGTGCTTCTAATAAAACATGAAGGGATATGCAGAGAATCAGAGAGGGGTAGTGTAATAGCACATGTGATAACTTAGGGATTTCTATAAGGGACCAGATAATACATATTTTCTTTTTTGCGGGCTCTGTGGTCTCTGTCGAATTCAGTCAATTCTGCTATTGTAGCACAAAAGCACCCATAGACTTAGACTAATGAACGTAGTGCCGACGTTCCAACAAAACTTCACTACAAATAAAAGTGTGGGCCAGTTTAAAAGCCCCTGGCTCAAAACATCCCTGTTAAACTTCACAAGTATGATTCAGTATCTGTGGAGAAATGAGGTGTGGGGTAAAATATTAAATAATTACAGAAACTCAGAAAAGAAAGATTTTAGGTTTATTAAAAGTTCACTTGATAAAGAAAAAGAAAGAAAATAACCAAGACATCAAGAAAAGGAAAAATAATCCACAGAATGGGAGAAAATATTTGCAAATCATATATCTAATAAGGGATTAATATCCAGAATATATTAAAAATTCCTACAACTCAGTGACAAAAAACAAAAACCCAATTTAAAAATGGGCTAAAGGGGCTGGGTGAGGTGGTTCATTGCCTGTAATCCCAGCAGTTTGGGAGGTGAAGGATCACTTGAAGCCAGGAGTTCAACATGAGTCAGGGCACCAAAACAAGACCTTAGCTATACAAAAGATTTTTTAATTAGCTGAGTGTGGTGGTGCACACCGTGGTCCTAGCTACTCTGGAGGCTGGGGCAGAGGATCTCTTGAGCCCAGGAATTCGAGGTTGCAGTGAGTTGTGATCATGCCAGTGCATTCCAGCTTGGTCAACAGAGCAAGACCCGGTATCAAAAATTAAATAAATAAAGGTGTGGGGGATGGGGCAAAAGGCCAGGCGTGGTGGCTTATGCCCATCAGCTCCACACTCTGCAAAGCCAAGGCGGGAAAGTCACTTCGGCCCAGAAGTTTCAGGCTGCAGTGAGCTGTGGTTGTGTCAGTGCACTCCAGCCTTAGCAACATAGTGAGACCCTGTCTTTACAAAAAGGGGTGGTGGGGGGGCAGAGGACCTAAACAGACATTTGAATTTGAGTATTGTATGAGGTAGGCATCTTAACTCCCCCTCCCCTTGATTGCCACTTAGATATTTCTCTAAAGATTATATACAAATGACCAATAAGCACATGAAAAGATGTTCAATATCACTAGTCCTTAAGAAAATGCAAATCCTAACTACAGAGATACCACTTCATAGGATGGTCAACACTTAGTATTTTCTTTTTTTTTTTTTGAGACAGAGTCTCACTCTGTTGCCCAGGCTGGAGTATAGTAGCGTGATCTCAGCTCACTGCAACCTCTGCCTACTTGGTTCAAGCAATTCTCCTGTCTCAGCCTCCTGAGTAGCTGGGACTACATGCCCCACCACACCTGGCTAATTTTTGTATTTTTAGTAGACACAGGGTTTCACCATGTTGGCCAGGCTGGTCTCAAACTCCTGACCTTGTGATCTGCCTGCCCTGGCCTCCCAAAGTACTGGGATTATAGGCATGAGCCACCGTGCTCGGCCACACTTAGTTTTTTATAATAGTCATCCATTAGGATTCCACATAGTGGAATATTCAGCCATAAAAGGAAATGGAATTCTGACACATGCTAGAACATGGATGAACCTTCAAGACATTATACTAAGTGAAACAGCCAGACATGAAAGGATAAATACTGTATAATTCCACTTGCATGAGATACCTAGAGTAATTAAATCCATAGAGATAGATAGAATGGAGGTTGGCAGTGGCTAGGGGAGAGGTAAATGGGGAATTATTTAATGAGCAGAGTTTCAAGTGTGGAAGGTTCAGAGATGAATAGTTCAGAGATAAATGGTGGTGACAGCTGCACAAAAATGTGAATGTACTTAATGTCATGGAACTATACATTTAAAAAGGGTTAAGATGGTAGATTTTATGTTATGTGTTTTACAATAAAACTGGAAAGAAAAGTCAATCACTTTACACATTAGATACAATGAAATAGTAGTTAAGAGGCTGGGGACAGTGGCTCATGCCTATAATCCCAGAACTCTGAAAGGCTGAGGCAGGAGGACCATTTGAGCGCAGGAGATCAAGACCAGCCTGGGCAACATAGCAAGACC